AAATTTTTTGAAAGACCTTCCCTAATCTCTGTTCATGTTGTTCGGGAGTTTTTCCCATCACCAATACATCATTCATATAGCAAAACGCCTCTTTCTTTCCCTAAAAACTGCCGCCATTGTTCACTAGAATAGATGATGACAAACTAAAATGGCAATCTACAAAATGCAAAGAGTTCCTTTGGTCTAGTGATTTCCTCACATCTGGTCTTACCCGCATTTTAGATGCGCCTTAGAAAAATCCATTTTTAAAAAATAGACACTTCCCTTTTAAATTGGCCAATATCTCTATAATTCGTGGCAACGGATATTTGACCTTCACATGTTTACAAACGGAGTTTCCCGTTGACCTCTTCGCCGACATTAGAACACACAATGACCTTTGTGCCCATTGGTTCAATTTTATTTTCACTTGGCCACTTAAACGGTAATCGTCGCAACGCACAAAATTTCGGTACACAGCCCTCCTTTAATTTAATATCCACTTCATAATCCCTGAAAAACTTCAAATCTTTATGAAATATTTCCTAATAATTTTCCACTAATTCGCACTCCATCTTGCATTATGATCATTCTAAATTCCATTGCTTACAATTCCATTCCTACACGTATTCACCTCTTTCTTTTCTACTTCCACTATTGCCTATAAATTGTAACTCTATTTCACCGTTTGGGGCAAGGGGAAATTCAACCCCCTTCAGAAATATGTCATATTTTGTGAATATCATTTTAAGCTAATAAAAATATACTCCATAGCCCCCTCTTTTCCCCATGTCCAATGTATGCATATAAGAAAAAATGTAAAAGATAGTGAATTTTCAAACTAAAACTAATGACTATAATTTATATATCTTTTTGAAAAAATATTTATATATAAAAAGGACCTTGCTTATTTTTTGATACCATCTCTTGGTTTTAGTAAATTATAAATTATATTTATAATAGAATGATTTTAGATATGTATTTTTATATAGTTATAATAAAAATATATATGTATGTTTATAATGTAATATATTAAGAATTACTTTATAGTTTATTATATATGTTTTATAATAGTTAAGTTTTATATGAATGTATTATATATTAAAATCTGTTCAATTAGCTACCTAATATTTATGGGGATATTTTCATTTATACTTTTGTATATATCTCTTTCCGTGATTGTATTTTGACTGATATTATGTATAATGAATAAAACAAAAGAATCAATATAACAATTTATTAAATGATAACTACATTTTGAATAATGATAATAAGTTGTTTTTTTTTTAAATTAACTCCTATCCTATAAAATATTTTCTAGCTCCTTGTAGGCTAAGGAAAGTTAGACGAAGGCCCGACAAAAGCGGTGCCCGCAAAAGGAAGTTCTGAAGGGCGAATCTCCCCCCCAAGAAATTTATTAATTCCCTCTCCCTTAAGAAAATCTTGTTATGCCTATGTCCCATCTCGATCTTTTGGATGCTAATTTACGCCCTCCTCCCAAGTCTCACCTTCCTCCTTCCCAAAATCACAATAACCATTAAAACCCTCAAACTTTTCAATGAGATTGTTTCCCATTTCTCGCCTAAACTTATTCCCCCCAATTTTTCTCCTAAAATTACAATAAATTCTTCTTTAAATTTATTCCCCCCGATTTCTCTCATAGAATTAATCCCCCATACCTCACACTTTATACCCCCCCCCCAGATTTCTTTCTTTAAAATAATTGCACCCTATTTTTCTCATAATTATTTCTAGTTTCTCTTTTTAGAGCCATAATATATCTCCCTTCTTACTACCTAGATAGTCTCAATCCCCGGAAATATTTTCTCCCTCTCATATACCCCACCCCCATTTTTATTTCACTAGTTATCACACCCCACTATAAAAATACATATCAAAAACCCAGTCTCACCAGAACACCGCTTCCACTCTCCAATTAATAATCCACAAATCTAATATTTCTACCTTTTCTTCTATTTCCTGCCATTTTCACTCTTCCATTACCTCCAATTGTGATCCATCGAATTGTCATATTATTTTACCTCATTTTCTATTATTTTATCTGGCCAATTACACCGATATTTTTCCTATTTAATCATCGAAATAGCAGCCCCGTATCAAATATCATGGGTGCAATGCTACCATTTAAATTTATCTTGACTCTCTTACAAAGGTCTGCCACCTCATCTAGACACATCTTATTTTTTTATTTTACCATGAGAAAACTTTTTGTATATCATTGTTAACCAACTCGCCTTGACCCGTCTTACATATTCTTTGCCAACATATAGTCACAAATCCCCACACTCTCTCGCAACACGCCCCCTTTCTGCATAATGCCCCATATTTTGCTCCTCTATTTCTTTTACATTCAGCACAATTATCCCCTCAATTCTTTTACTCTCAATAGTCCGCACATTAGAAGCATTTTGACTCATTTATCCCTGTTGTATAAACCTCTGTTTTTATAATTGCTAGATTACTTCTCTTTATTGTATCCAAAATGTCGGCATTCCACACACCGCAATTTCTCTTGTTTTCTCAGATAAAATGTAGCTGATCATATTTTAAACATTCGAAACTTCTTCTCGCCAATCGCTGACCATGTCTTTTGCAGTTAAACCGAATTATCTCCTTTTTTCCTCAAGAATCAAAACTCGATCTCATTTCCATTCTTCCTAATTCTCCCTGGGTCCTCTATACGTCCTCAACAGATCTATGGACTAGTTTATCTACATCACTATCTGTCCACACGTTGAATTAATTCTTGATCTGGTAACTACGCTACCATTCTCATAACATCATCCTTTCCATTGTGACCCTCTATGGTCAAAGTATGCCCCTTTATTCTTACCGCGACTCTCTCTTAGTTCTCCTTCCTAGATTAAACTACACATCCATATTAAAAGTATGACCAATTCCCTTAAAGATAATATTATACTCTATTTCTCATTAACTTACAAATTTTAAGGTATTCATTCCACGTTATTACTTTTAAAATACAACTTATATGATGGAATTAGTACTGTACAAACAAATATACATATCAACTAATTAGTTTTCAACCTTATTCCGTATATACACGCTTTTCCTACTAATCAATTTCAATGTTATTCAGTATATGCAACGCTTTTCCTACTAATTAGTTTTCAACGTTATTCCATATATACAACGCTTTTCTTACATAGTTTTCAACGTTATTCCTAAAAATATATTATCCCTACCTTATGTCCATGGTCACCACTTCAGGCGCCTAACCAATTGGGGGAAGGGGATTTCTCCCCCATCGTAAATTTGACTGTTTTCATAAATATCATTTTAAGCTAATAAAAATTTGACCCTCCCCCCCCCCCCCCCCCAATTAAAATTTTACAAATATTTTAATATCAATTTTCCAACATAATACTTATTTTTATATATAAATTTTATTAAAATTTCCTTTCCTTGTGAGTACATTAACATTATTCAATTAATAAAATGGAAAAATTTTTAGTCAAAGAGATTGATGATATCATTATTAAATTCAATTGATCAATCAGAGTTTATCATTACTGCTAGTTGCATCAAAAAATTATTTTCCTATTGCTCACTACTTTGTAGAAATTTACCAAAAGCAAATTTAAATTTGTTTCAGGTTATTGATTTGGCGGAAAATATATATTTACAGGTAGGTACAATAATAATGAATGTAGATGAATATTTTCATAATATTTATCTAGACGTTGAATCGATGGCCAAATTTTATGATATAACACTAATTAAACCTCATCTAGCACCTAGGCAATTATTGAGATGTAAAATAAATATTGGCTCAACTGAAGAATATTATAAAATATCCATTTTCATCCCATTCTTAGATACTTTTCTATCGCAAATAAAAGTACAGTTTTTAGATAAAAAACAAGTCTTTAGCAATCTTCAAGTTTTATTACCCAAAGATTCCTCTTCATTTTCTAATGTTACTATTGGTAAAATTAATTTAGCAAAATTTTATTCCTATGATATTGATACTGAAATAAATTTAATCAGCGAATTCAAATTGTGTAATAAATATTTACTACGATTGATTCAATCGGTGTAAAGAAACCTTGGGTCAATTTCCTAATATTTTGAAGTTGTTTTATATTCTTGCACGAATGAAAGGACTTTTTCCAACTTGAGAATGTTGAAAACATATTTACGAAGTACTACTTCCGAATCTCGGCTAAATGGGTTAGCTCTGTTAAATATCCACAGAAATTTGGTTCCAACGACAAACGAAATTTTTGATGAATTGGCAATATCCCCACGAAAATTAAAAATCACATTATAATTATAGTATTTAATAAAAAATTATGCATATTATTGTATATAAGATGTTAAAAAAAACTTGTTTTTTAAATTTTAATATTTTATACACACTACTATTAGTATTTTCAATAAATTATATTCTACTTATATTGTATGAGAATTTAAGCTGAGGCTAGTTTTTAAAGCAAATTTTATAAAAAAAATGACATTAAACTTTATTTCAACTTTACATTTAAGAATACTTTATTAAATATAATATACCTAACTTAATCCCCCCCCCCATAAGAAAATCCTGGATACCCCACTGCACCACTTCTATGATTATCTGAAGAACTAAATGAAAACTTCACTTTTTATTATTGATTCACCACCTTTATAGTTAATACTAGTTAGAGAAACTAACTCCTTTATTATATTCCAATTTATAATTCACAATAGTTTAAACAAAATAATATAATATTTCAAAATAAAAATACAATAATTTTCATAATCCCAAAAATACATTTTTTAAAGTTTTTGTGGCCTAATGGGTTAGATGTATGCTTGGAACAGAAGGACGAACAAGGACGCAGGTTCAATCCTGGTAAGGAGCATAAAAACTTTAAAGTTTTTCTTCTATGACTGCTGTGTAAAAACATATGGTAAGATAAATTTCAGAGCTTAGAGATGACACCCGGGTCACTGACAGGCCTGGACAGCTGGGTGCTAAGGATACCTGTCCAATAAACAAAATGAAGGAAACAAATGGAAATATGAATATGAAAGCTAAGGCGTTCCCTCCTGGCGACGCGCAGGGTGTAGACCTCCATCCTGTGAAAAGTAAAGTAAAGGTCAAAGCAAAGACAAGATTAGCAAGTTTGAATATTGGGATGCTTGAAGGTAAGACGAGAGAATTGGCATCAATGTTGAACAAGAGAAAAGTTGATATAGCGTGCATACAAGAGACGAAATGGAAAGGTCAGAAGACTTTAATGATTGGAGATGGGTATAAATTGTACTATAATGGAATTGTTAGCAATAGGAACGGTGTCGGCATTATCCTCAGTCAAGATCTAACATTCTCAGTAGTAGAATTCAACAGGATCTCTGATAGACTAATGAAGATAAAACTCTGCATTAGTCAATCAATACTACACATCCTTTCAGTATATGCTCCTCAAACGGGTTGCAAGGAAGAAGAGAAAGATGAATTTAGAGCTATTCTTGATGAAGCTGTAATGGAAATCCCTAAGGATGACCTAGTCATAATTGGTGGTGACTTAAATGCGCATGTGGGGAAAGCAAGAGATAGCTACAAAAGGCAACATGGTGGTTTTGGATATGGAGAAAGAAATGAAGGAGAACACATACTGAAATTTGCGCAAACCTTCGACCTTGCCGTAACTAACACCTACTATAGGAAAAAAGACAGTCATTTAATAATATACGAAAGTGGTACAAGAAAAACACAGATAGATTACATGCTAATCTCTCGCAGAAGATTAAAAGATGTAATAACTGCAAAGTCATCCCAGGAGAAGGTATAGCCGCACAACACAAGCTACTAGTCATGGATTTACACATCTCAAATAAATCCACTCAAAACAAGATAAAACTGGAACCATGCATCAAATGGGGCAAATTAAAATCAATGACAGATGCCTTTGCAATCAATGCAAACATTGAAACAATAGATTCCTCACAAGTCAGTGAAAAAATGTGGACAGACCTTACATACAGATTAATAGACACTGCCAAATCGACACTAGGCTTGACAAGGGGAGGCAACAAATCATACAAAGAACTATGGTGGTGGAATGAAGAGGTACAAACCACTATAAAGGAGAAAAAAGCCCTATATAAAATATGGTACAAATCCAAAAACCCGGATGACAAGACAAATTACAAAAAATCCAAGAGAATAGCTACAAAGGCGGTGGCTAGGGCCAAATCTATGGAATACGATGACATGTACGAAGATCTACATACCAAAGAAGGGCAAAATAAAATATACAGATTAGCCAAACAGCGAGAAAAGAACTCTAGATAAATGGGGCTCCGAAAGTAGTCAAAAATAAAGATGGGAAATTGATAATAAAGGAAAAAGAAATAATGAATAGATGGAAAGAATATTTTCGGGAGCTTTTCACTTTAATCCCCACATACTACATCTAGACGAATACTCCCCATGTCAAAACCTTGTACAACATATAACAGAACATAAAATAACATGCCTCAAGCATATGAAAAACAACAAAGCTAGGGGTCCAGCCAATATTCCAATAGAAAGCCTTAAAGCACTTGTGGAATACATCTCCTCACAAATCCATACAATAAAATACTTGGAAATGAAGAGGTTCCCCAAAAATGGAGGCAGAGCTATCTAGTTCCTATCTTCAAAAATAAAGGGGATCCACACAATTGTCAAAATTACAGGGGCATAAAACTAATGTCACACTGTCTAAATCTATACGAAAAAATAATAGAAAAAAGATTAAGAGCATAATCGAAATATGAGATCAGTTTGGGTTTATGCCGGGAAGATAAACAACTGATTCTATCCACGCATTTAGGCAAATGAGTAAAAAATACAGGGAAAAGAACAAAAAGCTATACATGGTCTTTCTCGATCTAGAAAAGATCTTCGATAGAATCCCAAGAAAACTTATCTGGTGGGCTCTACGCCACAAAAAGGTTCCTGAAAAATATATAAGAATAATATAGGATATGTATATAGGCCATACAACAATGGTCCGTAGCACAACAGGTACTTCAGCAGGCTTCACAATAGCCGAAGGAGTTCATCAAGGGTCGGCTCTCAGCTCAGTTATTTTCATTATAGTAATAGATGTATTAGCACAGTCTATACCTCAAAGAGTCCCGTGGAATATGATATTTACAGATGATATTGTGATACTTGCCGAATCCAAGGATGAAATGAAAGAAAGGTTAGTGGGTTGGAAAAATATCCTAGAAAAGCACGTACTAAAAGTAAATAGAGAAAAGACGGAATATAAGGTGATAGGAGGAGATGAAACAGAGAGTATTGATATAAATGAATGGCAGATATCGGCAATTGAAAGCAGCAAATATTTGGGCTCCAATATACAAACAAACGGCACAATCGAAAAAAAAGATAAAGAGTAAAATTAATCAAGGGTGGTTAAAGTGGAGATCTTTATCTGGAGTGCTATTTGACAAAAGAATCCCACACAAATTAAAGGGAAAAATTTACAGTTCCATAGTACAACCAACTATTCTATATAGTTCGGAAACATGGCCAACCATAGAATCAGACGACAGAAGTCTACAAACTATGGAGATGAGAATGCTGAGGATGATTGCTGGGGTAACAAAAAGTGATAAAGTGCGCAGTACAAGAATACTAAGTAGTTTAAAGGTAGTGCCCATTAAGACTAAGTTAATTGTAAACAGACTTAGGTGGTATGGGCACACAATGAGAAGGCCTATGAACTACATAGGAAATAAGGTTGAGAGTTTGGAAGTGATGGGCAAACGTAAAAGAGGAAGGCCAAAACTTCAATGGGGCCATAAAGTTAGAGCAATATAAAGAAGTATAAATTCGATTAAAGAGATTGTATGAATAACATAAAGTGGAGAGAGATGTTGAAGGAGCTTACCACCAGAAAAGGTGAAAGCTAAAGAGAAAAAAAAAAATTTTGCAAAATATTAGATACATTTTCACAAAAATTAATAATCAAAAAAAATTTAAATAATGGTTACTAAAATTGCCATTAAATTCCTTACTCAAAATAACAGATAAAAAATAACGAATAATTATTTTAAGTATATAACATATATTTATATCTGAATTTCTTTTTCTATATATAAAAATATTAAAAAGATACTTTCAATTTCATTGGACACCTTGTAAACGGATGGTTTGTTTAAAAGACTGTCATAAGATTTCTTGTTTTCACCTTCAAATACATGATTAAATATAACATTTTTAAATTTACCATTTTGAAATAAGTTAAAAGTTATTAAAATCATACAAATTGGAAAAATCATTACAATATTTATTTCAACAATTTTATACAAATATTTTTACAGTATATTAATTAGAATCATGATTCTTTATTTAGTAAATATAATATAGAGAAATATATATTTTTTATCAAAACTCCGTTTAAATTGGATATATAAATTTAAATTATATTTATAAAGATAAATGTTGGGAATATAGATTAATGCACAAAAATATTCTTAAGAATTTTTGCATTTATTTAAGCTTACAAAGTATTCATAAAAATATGGTGTATTAAAGAATGGAAATATAATTACATATAAATTAATGTGAAATTCAATCTTAATTGAAATTGAGCTAATTTTTCAATGATTTCATCACCGATTAGTGTCAATTTCCTATGTATATTAACAATATTCAATCTATTTTTAGAGTTAGTAGCTCTCATTCTCATGTATTTTTATTCTTGTTTTAGAAGAAAGGTTCTTTCATTTTGTAGAAGTTATGATGGGTAGAATTTCCAAATTTATAATTTTGATATATTAGGAAAATAGTTTAAAATGTGTTTGAAATTATGCAAAGCGTCTATAAAATATTTTGGAACAATATCAACCATAGTTATCCTTTTATACCCTGCATTCCTTTATAATGTATCATAGGGATATAATATCCTCACAATAAAATCTGCCAAATATTTAATTTTTCCTCTATTAAGATTTAAAATAGAAGGAAGGATTCTGTGGTGATTTCAAATTTGTAAGCGATGCCTGATTAATCAAGAATCTTTTATTTATTTCAGTTATAAAATTATACACTTGGATTAAATAGTTAACTTTGACTGACCGACACTATAATATTGAAACGATATGCTTGCCCTGCGCGAGTCGAGTTAGACAAATATTAAATTCATTGAACCATGCTTTTGACTCAACATTGGCATACAATTTTTAAAATTTGTCATTTATTTGCCCTAATTTCCTTAAGTTCCAATATAATTTTAGCTATTCTCATAGTCTCAATCAAATTGATGTCATTTTTTTGAAATATTTAGTTTTGCAGTGAAAAAGTTTCAAATTATTTGGTGAGAAATTTAAAAATGGTAATAAATATAACGCCAAGGAAATTTTGATCGATATTAATTCAAAGAATAAATTATAGTAACGTATTTATTTCTAATGTGATAAATAAATGTAATATATTGTGATAAGAGGTAGGAATGATTATTATAAAATATAATCATAAAACAGCACTATTTTTGAAAATTTTTTAGCCGGCTATTAAATTTTTGGGCTTAGGGGGAAGGCATTTATCTCCCTGCCCCCTCCTTTGAATATGCACCCAATAAAAAGTTTGTCAAATTCCATGTAATTAAACATTAGATTTAAGTAAAATATTACACTATTTAATAGGCATAGCCAATGGGGGATATTAATTTCCCTCTAGTAAACTTAAAATATTAGTAAACATCATTAGCTAATAAAAATTATCTCCTCCTTCCCACAAAAAAACGCAAAGAATATGAGAGTTAATAATTTTTTAGAATAGTGACTAATTGATATCCAAATGCCTTCAAAAATCTAGGTGTTGGAATAAACTAATTGAAATTTTTGGGAAAAAATAGAAAAATTCTTATTAGCCTTCAATTATGGCTTAAGAGAACCCGGCTAAAAAATAATTAGTCATTATATTTTATATGCATGTAAATGTTTTCGAAATTTGTTTGGGAGATATTTAAAAAACGGCTGTCAATATTTTATTGAAAAAATGTTATCTAAGCCTCGAAATTTGTCAAAGTTTTTATGCCACCTATATGTGAACTCTGGAGGCATATGTAATAATTTTTGAATGAAATATAAATTTAGCTTTGTTACAAGATTATTTAGTCAGATATATTTGTTTTTTATTTGCGATATATACTATTTTTTATTTTATTTTTAAAACAAGAACGTTATTTTGTAGAGTTTTCTTATTATGATATTCAAATTATATTATATCGAAGTTATTTCGAGAAAAAATATAAAGAATTTGAGGTTCTGCAAATTTGCTTTAAAAATTTCCTAACCATTTAACAATAATGATAATACCTATGAGAAAATAAAAACTTTTTGTAATGATATTAATATCAAAATTAATAAAGAAAACCATGATTTGCATTATTCCAGTCTTTTTGGCTTATTTATACTTAAATTAACCTTATAAGAGATCTGCTGACTTATAGTAAACCGATTATACCCAGAGTACTCATAATACTTAAAAAATGATTATCTAATGGATATAATTAAAATTACATTAATATTAACTAGTGTTGTAAACGAACGCGTTCAAAATGAACGCGTTCGTGAACGAAGTTCGTTTTTTTGAAAAAATGTGATGAACGGCGTTCCTTTTTTTTGACGAACTTTGAACGTGAACGCGTTCCTTTTCTTTGATGAACGCGTTCAATTTTACGTTCGTTCAATTTTAAAAACACTTTTTTTCATTTTTTATTTATTTGAAAAAATTAATATTTAATCCAATTTTTTAACAAAAAAGTCTTATATTTTTTAATCAGCTGTTTTT